TTCGTCCTCTCGGCGAGGTCTCTCTTCGTCGACCGGAAGGTGTTGACACTACCCACTTTCACGAAAGAATTCTTGGATAGAAAAAGTCCAGTGACCATTATTCAGGATGGATGTGCCTTGGAAATCAAAGTTTCGCGCCGAGACTTGGACAGGGCTTTTGCAATCATGGAGGACCCGGCGCTTGAGCCGAGCTTTGTTTGGGGGGCGCGAGGTTGAGTGCCATTCTTTTTTAAACTTAAAATCATATACTTTAAATAATAATAGACAATTTTGTCGTAGTTGCAGCCTGCTGCAGGAATGGGTGGCTCTTGTGGAGGAAGTGGTGGCGCATGAGTTTCCGAGTTGGCACTTGGCGGCGGCATTTCAAATCTTTCATTTGTCCGACTGCGTCAGTGGCCGTGACTGCAGCGCAGATGTTCTACGGAACTTGGAGAGGCTGGCCAAAGTCTATTCGGTGCCTTATGAAGCACTGAAGCAAGAGTATGCTCGCTTGCTACCCATTGCTGCGGCTTTGAAGAAGCAAGCAGGTTTGAGCAACAGAGAAGCATGGAGGGAAGCCCTTCATCGCACAAGCAGTCGGAAAGGCGCCCAGGCCACGGCCTTGATACAAGTCCTGGCAGCTTACCTATGCTGGACCGCAGCCACGAGTGGAGTGGAGCAACAATTCTCGAAGCTCAAGAGAAGTCCTGTCGAACTGAGCAACGCCTCCGTGGACACAGATCGCCGCCTTGCCATTGTTGTTGGCGATTGTCAGGCCACGAGCCCCGCAGTGCAACCTGAAGTGATTCGAGCCGCTCGACTAATCTACTCTTCCCTTTTATCCAGTGGAAGGTCCCGCCCGCGGACAAAACCAAGGTTCGATTGCGGCGTGAAAGCCAAAACGAAAACCGGATCTTTTGCCGACTGGAACCGCACAAGAAAGAAAGCAGTGCTGGAAGCAGTGCGAAAATGTCAAACACCTCCTCGGAAACCAGCCGAGCTGTTGACGGAGTCTTCCCTAGAGGAAAGAAATTTCCAGAGAAAACACAGTCTGAAACGAAAGGCTGAGGCTTTGGCCGATGGCTGCTTGTTGTCGGATGAGATCACCCAAGAGGTTCAGGAAGAGGCCCTGCGACTGACCAAGGCAAACCAAAAAGGTGATGAACTCAGGAAGAAAAGCAGACAGGAATACGAAGTCACTGGTAAGTTGACATCCACGAAGAAAAGTCACGAGTGGGCCTGCCAAGCTCTCAGTGGCCCAGCGTGGTGTTGCTCCAAGATGGAAGGTGGCAAGGCACAAGCAGTGTCTCAAGCTTTGACCAAGCATGGGGTTGCGACGAGAACCCAGGACCCTTGCTTCTTGTTGCTCGATTGCTTGCCACTATACTTTCAAGCATCTGAGTCTGTCTAATTTAATTCAACTTTTCAAACTTATGTTCAGGACCTGCGGGAGGCCAGACTCTTCGTGGTGTCAAACTTCAACAATGTGGAAAGAAAAGTGCGTTCCATGGCCGCTCTGAGTGGATCTGTCTTGATGTCAGCCTCAGCATTGCTTGGAGGAGCAGGTGTCAAGCTGACGTTTCACCCGGGTCAGGACATACACGTAGCAATCTTCGTGACTGACACTTTCAAAGCCGAAGAGCCTTGCGCGACGATACTTTTACGTGAAGCCTGCGCCCGTGGGTGGCAGGCAGTGAGGGCGGAAGATTTGAAAGGCCGGGGGCGCAAGCCCAGTCTCCATCTCAGGGGTGCGGGGGAGGCCATCCCAGCTGGTTTCAACCAAACCAGGGTGAAATGTTTTACTGCCGACGAATTCTTGCGTTGGCTCACGGCAACTTGTCTCAACAAGCAGGCAAGCTCCCGTGTGAAGATAGCAGCTCAGTAATAGGGACTCTGAGCAGTCTGTCTTGGAATAATCCTGCAGCAGGGGACCCTTGCGGGAAAACAGCGCTTTTTCGTTTATCATGGCCTGCAAGTGTCATGACCGTCATTGAGTTGCCGCGTTGAATTCATTTACTTGCCGCGCGTTGAACTGTGGTCGGCAAACTTCTGACCTGGAAACTGAAAGATCAATAATTAATTATCGTCACGTGAACTTTTACAAAGACAGTTGTGACAGTATTATATTATAGACTTTGCAGGGCGGGCCAGCCAATTTTAAAGCAGCCATCTTCGGGATAATATCCGATGTAAATATAATACTGTTTAGTTTTCATTCATTGGCATTGGCTTGCTTGTCTTCTGACCCTATACTTTCCGCTGTCACAGGAGGGTCGTGTCTGCAGCTGTTTTTAGGTTCCCAGTCTCAGCCAACAGACGCAGGAAACCCGGCCACGCAACGTTTGCAGACATACCAAGACGCGTGCTTCCTTGCCTGTGAGAGTCGAGAAGCCCTCGTGTTATATGACGACCTGCATGACAGACTCACAGCCAGCCCCACCCTCATCCAGGAACTCGGCCTGGAGCAGGCCGAGGTTGAAAGAATTTATTGGGGGCTCAGGCGAATCAGCGATCGATCATGCGATTACATGAACAAACTGGCCTTGGAAATCGGACAAGACCTTCCCCAGCCAGTGGCGCAAGCTGAGGGGTCGCAAGAAGAAGGAAAGAAGCCTGCGGGCCGTCCAGGAGCTGAGGATGGGAACAAGGCGCCTGCAGCTGAGGCTGCGGCGTCGGAAGTCCGCCTCAGTCTTGATGAATGCTGGCAAGTAGCAGAGGCAGCCCACTCACATCTACCTTGGGTGTTTGAAAGCGTTTTGCTGCCCGCCAAGCCAGACGCGGATTCACAGGAAGTTTTGGTTGAAACAACCACTGGAGAAAAATAGCTACGGCTCGATGAATTACCGCGTCTACGGACGTCTGGGTTTTGCAATCGATGGCGTAGGCCTTAGTCAGACTTAGTAGTCTTGCTTCTGACGCACAATTTTGGAACAGCATCGATGAGAGAGACCACTGAAATGAAAGGAGTGAAAACTTGAATTGATCTCATGCTGTGGTGTTGACGACCTGATTCATTCTTGGTCACTGTCACTTCAATCACTCGACTGTGTTTTCATGTCAATTTTCGATTACTTTTACTGGTTTGACAGACAAAACAGTTATTAAAATATTTGCAGTCATGGCAGTGACTAGTTTCAGAGTGACTGTCAGCAATCCGTGACGCTGTTGCATTGTATTCCGCAGCCGTTTCCATTCAAACAGAAATGACAAAAGGCAAGTCGTCGAGCCCGTCTTCCAGCAAAGCGCCTGCTCTCAAGAGGCCTGGCCCAAAACGGACGATTCAAAAGAAAGTCGTCGTGGTCAGCCAGGAGGAGCTACGCTTGCAACTTGAGCGAGTTAACTTTTTGGCGTCCAACTGGCTCACCCGATTGGGCAGGCACAATGACAAGGCCTCCAGGAAACAGAGAGTGCTTCAAACTGCATCAGACTGTTCGGGCCACGGCTCGGACCTGATAGCATACAGGCTTCTGGGGCTGCAAAACCAAGTGCAGCCCGTCATGATGTCAGAGGTCAGCCCACACAAGGTGTTGTTGCACCAATCTGTCGCCCAAGAATGTGGCTGGAAGTACAACGACCACCAAGTCATTGACATGTTTCTACGGAAAGAAGAAAGCATGAAACCAGCAGACATTTACGTCGCTGGCTATCCGTGCCCGTCGTATTCCAAGTTAGGAAAACGCCAAGGCGTCTCTGACCAGCGGGGTCTTTTGACCTTGAAAGGGTTGGAGTATGTGGCATTGCGCAGACCCAAGGTGGTGGTGTTGGAACAGGTCCAAGCCATTCTCGAGAAGAAGCACTCGAAAATTTGAAATTACATTCTCAAAATTTTGAACAAGCTCGACTATGCGTTCGATCACAAAGTCCTGACTACCCAGGACTTCGCCATACCCCAATCGCGCCCCAGAGTCTACATTCTCGCAGTGGCCAAAGAGATTTGCGCTGGAACAGTGAAGTTGCCGGAGAAGCGGTCAGAGAAGGTCGACTTACACCACTTCATCCAAAAGGACCAGGCCGGCTCCGAGGTGTTGCAACTGCCCAAGTACGAACGACTTTTAGGTTCCGCCATGTGGAGCAAGGGATATATCCTGGATGTCGGATCTTCGGAAAAATTCCCAGCAGTGATGACAAACTGCGCACCGTGCCTGACGAACACACGCTTGGGGCAAGGAGGATATTACATCCCAAAACTTCGGCGCCGCTTGCTGCTTGAGGAAGCTGCTGCACTACAAGGAGTGCCAAAGAAAGTCGTCAAAGCCATGCAAAGGGCGGCCGAGAAACACAAGCTTCCTGCGCGCACAGTGGAAGCAAGCCTTGACGATGCAATGAGCATCAATGTCTTGGCAAGTGTGTTGATGAAAGGATTAACACACGCTCGCTTAATTCAGTTCAGTGCACAGGACGACCATTGGAGACTAGTTGCCAATGGTCCGGACGCTGCAACGCTGAGTGACCGCCTGTTCGACCGAACAGCCCAGCCGGGACGAGGTCCGAAATGAAGCTCGTCACAACTTTTTTCGGCGGCCGCAGCGACGGAGGCGAGTAAGAGGAGTGAGACCTCCTCACTCCCCTTACCCACTCCCAGCCCAGGCCAGACTCGGGTAAGGATAGTAGGGGCTGTCGTAAGCATAGTTGGGCAATCACCACGCCATCACGGCCGCATGTTTTGTCACTATCCTTACCCACTCCCAGCCTAGGCCAGACTCGAGTAAGAGGAGTGAGACCTCCTCACTCCTCGTACTCATGCCCGTTGCAGCGGGAAAGAGCGGTGCCTACTAGTCTTACTCGGAATCCCAGCCCGGGCCAGGAGCGGGTAAGCCGCACGACGTTTAGCGGTTGCACGACCACTGTCCTTACCCACTGGATTCCTGATTTAACAAATTATATCAAGTAATTATTGAATGTTGAATGTCAGCATCCTCGCATTTGGCATTTCTCACTGATCTGTTTTCACTTTTGCGCTGTTGGCTTAAGTCTTTTTGAAGGAAGTTGTTGACAGACACGTTGCTTGCCACTGCCGTGCGATGACCTCGGACATCCGGAACATTTCCGCATGGCGCTTGAACAAGGCTGAACTGAAAGAGCTCGCCGAGAGGACTGAGAAAGGAGAAGACCAAGCAACCGTGAAAAGGGAACTTCAAACAAAGAAGGCCGTGTTGCGCGAAGAACGTAAGCAGGCGGCCTTGGCGATTGCAGCCAAGCCTGGACCTACGGGTCCCAGCGCGAAGGCAAGTAAAAAAAAGACGCCAACAATGGCAAGTGAGTCAGCCACGGCTGCTGCGATCCGGCACACAGACCCAACGAACGCAGCGTACTACGCTCTGGTGGAATCGGACCTTGACACCATTTTGAAGGAGTGGCCAGGCATTGACAAGGAAATGCCACTCGCACTGTCCAAGTCCGAGTCAGATGGATCCAAGACTGGGGTTCAAGAACCCTTTGACCTGGCCAAAGCTCAGAATGCCCTTGGGCTTCATGGAGTGTATCGCTGCAGCATCAGTCTGTTCTGGGTTCAGATCTTGGCTTCGCCCACCCCAGGCGTTCCAATGAGCCGTCGGAGAGTTGAAGACATGGCAGAGTTTTACTTCCCTGGCGGCAAACCAAGTTTCCTGACGGGCCGCATGGTAGAGCTTCTGACCGACAAGGCGTCTTTGAGCGACAAGCCCCAGAGTTGCCAGATGCTGTCGCCAGAAGAGATTGTGCATTCGCTGGTGGCTTCCTGTGCTGCCGCAGTTCGGTTCCTTGGCCAAAGTTAAGTATTATTTAGTATGATTTTACCCATGACAATACATAGCAAGACTGACTAAGATTCACCGGACATCCAGGCGCAAGGACGAGCTCTCGGAGGATCAGTGGACTGAGTGGAAAGCACAGTGGCGGGCAGTGTTGCTGAGCGTGCCGGCTTCCTTTGTCGAGATCAAGGACCCTCTGCATGGCCACAATGTGTGGGTGCAGGCCTTCAACCGGAGACAATCGGTGAAGCAAGAGCATGAGTCCATGAGCAGGACGGCAATGCAGATTGCCGTGGAAATAGACCAGTTCAAGACTATGTGCGAGAGCTTGCCCACCTGTAAGACAAAATTGCAGCCACCGCAACTGGTACAGGAGCTGCTTGGACTTGGCCTCCAGTCTGTGCAGGGAGGCAGAAAAGAGGACGACAGCGATGGCAAAATCACCGTCAACTTGGTGACACAAGCTCTGGCCGTCAAGAAAGGCATTCTTTCCTCTTCGCGGGCAGTTGAGCTACTGCTGGAGCTGGAAGCGTCCTACGGGACACGTTCCCCCTTCCACGCTATGAGTCGGCTTCACATTCTGTCCACCAAGCCGAGCACAACTCAGATGCGCGACTGGGTGTTAGAGAGCGTGCGGGATGGGCTTGCCTACGATCTCTTGCAGATCGGAGAGATTTCCAAGGGCAGTCTGAGCGGAGACAAGCATCACACCGGGCTCGTCGCACTGTTCGAGTTGAAAAAAAAGGCCGGGCCCACAATGTGACAACACAACAATTCAGTGTATTTGAGTCAATGTACCATGTTAGTTTTTGACAGGTCCTGGACCACTTCTTCGATGTCCTTTTGCCGAAAAGCGGTATGGCAGAGGCTGACAGGTTCTTGCTGAAGGAGAAGCTGTCGACCCACGAGATTTACCGTCAACATAGTGGCTCCGACGGAGATTGCAGCTGGATGGCACGACTTAAGAAAAGCGCCATCGAATGCTTTCACTTGTTGGAGGAGACTGTCTTGATTGAAATAGTTTGTAATTCATGGTTTTTCATTTCATTGCCAACAGTCTAATTGATTTAAATCCTGTTGATGCCCATCCCAGGACTTGACCTACAACAGAAAGTATGACCACACCCTGCGGCAAGGTGCGAAATCTGGAGGGACTCCAGAGGCTGTGATGGAGCACGATCAGGTGAAAGAACAGGTGGAAAGGGTCCTGGCCATGTTGAAGGACGAAGAGGCTGAACTGAAAGCATTGGCTGAATCGACAGCCGCAACTACAGACCCGGACCATGCAGAGGACGAGCTTCAGGAGGTGCGAAAGCCGCCGAGCCAACACTCAGAAGGATCTGACAAGTATTGGAAGGCGGTCGGCAACCAAACTGTTCGAACTTACTGCACACTCCATGTGCAACCCAAGACATTGGATGGCATGATCAGTTTGGTGAGCCAAAGTGGTTTGAAAGACTTCCAAGGAGAAGGAGGTGTCAGCTGCGTTCTGACCCACCTTGACATGGACGGTATGGGAGAATCCCTTGGCCCAGGTCAGAGACCGCTTCTCCGAAAGCGCTTTATGCCCAACCAGTCCTGTCTCAGAAATTTGTTGCATGGTTCCATGATTGCAAGAAATGGACAGCGCAAAGAGGACGAGTGCATGGTTCCGACAGAGGGCGAATTGGTGTTCGTGCACTGCGGCTTTGAGCGCACCACCAAAGAGGCAGAAGCCTTGTTCCGACCGGCTGCAGCCAGAAAGGATCAGGCCATTGAAGCAGAAATGAAAGAGCTTCTCCTGGTGTTTTCTGATGCCAGCATCAGGAACCGCAAACTTCGGGTTCGAGGGGCTTACTCATCCAGGTCCACCGCCTGTCTCTTTTCAGGAGCCCCAGTGTCAACCATGGTTCCGGAGAAGCCTTTTGGCGACTTCTCTGGGTACAACTTTGGAGATGTCTTCGGGACCATTGCCGCCCTGCAGCCGGAAGACCTTTGGCATCTCAGTAGGACCCGGCTGGCCTAGTGTTTAAAAAATAAATTCATCCACGCCAATTATTTCTGCCTGACACGTTTTGCAGGAAAGAAAAGGAGGAGGTCCTCACCACTGACAGGTGCGTCTCGCTGACTGACGCCGCAGCGAGCAAAGGCAAGGAAGCTTCGAGCGAAAGTGTGTTCAGCGCCGCTGTGCTGCCGTGCTCTTTCTACAGAAGCTTTCTTCGAGCCCACTCTGTGAAAGCTGTGTTTCTAGGATGCAATGTAACATCTTAAATAACCACTACTAGTGAGTTTCATACTGCAGCTTCCGTCACGTATTTCAGGTTGGACCTCTGCGCGTCTCAGGGAGAGTTGGCCAAGGCCTGTGTGTCCGAGCGCATCAGCTACCTGGGGCTGACGCTTTCTGACGCGCATTCCAGTCAGCTGGAAATGATTTTGACCAACTTTGTCGTCACTCAGATGCAAACGGAAGGCTCGACTTACTACCGCTCAGAGGCTGCGGCCCAAGGTAACCAGCAGGTGGGCCCAAAGGGCCCAAAGCGCAAAAACGAAAGTACCAAAGAAGAACGCCCCAAGGCCAAGGCCAAGGGCAAGAATAAAAACAATGAGCAGACCAAAGACGACGACAAAGCTACGGCACCTGAAGCAGGAGACGACGACAACGCTGCTGAGGACGGTGAGGACGCACTTCCGTGGTAGGCAGAGTCGTCAACAGACTGAGAGGTTTTCTCGTCTTCGTCGCGGCAAGTTTAGGTCCTTGGCTGGTCCATAGACGCAACAAAAACATGAAAAAGTAGGTTGTATTTTTCCAAAGGCAGCCAGCCAAGACAGCCAAGACATTTTGGAGACCCGTCGGCCAACCCACTGACTCAAACTCGGGGTGGAAAAAAGAAGCAAATTTAGCGGTTGATGGCTTAGCTGGCTTAGTCGCGCCTGATTCGGCATGATTTAAACCCTTGGCTGCCCAGGTGCTTTGGCTCAAGTCAAGTCGGCGCGTGGAGGAGCCCACCACTGAGAACAAGGCAAGGAATGGCAAATTTATTTCACCGCCGCATTTTGATTAATATTAACTTACCCCCGCCACCAAATGACAAATTTGTACAGGACCCAATAATTCAAGAATCATTGTCCTCCCCCACTGCTGCCAGGCTGATGACTGACCGTTCTGGCCGTGGCGACCGCCGTGACCGTGATCGCCGAAGAGACGAAGAGAAACGGGGTCGAAGCCGTGACAGACGGGCAAAAAAGACGAACCGAAGCAGAGACAGAGAGCGGCGTGGCAGGGACGAGGAGACTGACAGGTCTCGCAGCAGCAAGCCTGTCCTAGTCCCAGCGCAAGCTGCTCCGGCTCCTGCTCCGTCTGCAGAGGCTGCAGCTCCTGGAGAAGCTGAGGCGACTGAACCGCCGTCGCACGACGACGAAGAAGGTGAAGAATCAGAAGACTGTGTTATGGACCCAACAGTCTCAGTCGACGACCTGCGCCCTGTAAAGCACGCCGTGCCAGAGGCTGGCGAGGCAGCCCGTCCAGGTCCAGCCAAGGCTGAGACCAGCACTCGGACCACCACGACGCACAAGCGCTCAGGTGGCCCGCCTCAGCCTCACCAAGGTGAGACGAAGCGTGACCACGGTCACAAAACTGGTGAGAAGCGTGCCCAAGGTCACAAGCCTGGTGAGAAGCGTGACCAAGGTCACGAGAAGCGTGACCAAGGTCACAAACCTGGTGTGAAGCGTGACCAAGGTCACAAACCAGAGTCGAAGCGCAAAGACGAGTCTCACCAAGGTGACAAGGCTGACCAAGGTGAGAAGCCTCAGGGTCAGACCGACGACGACAAGACTGGTCGGTATGAATGCAGTGTCTGCAACCGCGTGGTCGGAGGTGGAATTGCCGGCTCGTGGCAACATCGCCGGTCACCTTACCATTTAGCTTGCTACCACTACTGGAACCACAATGAGACGATTCGTTGGAAGAATTGTCTCGAGGAAGGGCAGCGCTGGAGCAAGCACTGCTGGTCGACGAACACCACAGGTCCGGAGGATGACACGCTGCCCAACAAGCCAAAGAAAAAGCAAAGGTCTCCAGTTCCAGTGAGAAGCGAAGTAGACACGAAACGTTCCCGCTTTGACAAAGACCACCAAGGAGACCCTGGCCCGGACGGAGGAGCAGGGTCCTCCGGCAGGAACTTGCTGCTGCAAATGTGGCAAGCCACTTTAAAAGAGCTGATTTAGAAGGTTTTTTTGAAACCGGCCGGCGCAGTCTTCCCACCAAACCAGACAACGAGAAGATGAAAAAAGATGCATCCCTGCTGCCATCTTGTGTGAAGGGTGAAACACTCATATTAATTAAGACTCACTGACGGTTGTCTACATGTCAGGTTTGAAGGGTTATTATTAAACACTTGATTTGTCGTTTCTACTCAGCTGTGTCTGGCTCAAGCGTAAGCGACGGCGACTCTCGCGAGTGCTGGCCCGACAAGGTGGGCGCCCTGGGGGTCATCGCAATTAGAATCCACACGACATAATAATTAAATTAATATGTAAATTAACTTAATCATGTCAGGACCAGGGATCCATGTGACATTGAATCGTCCATGGACGACGACATCCTGTCAATCTTCAGTCCACGGACTCCCAGTCGACAAAGGTCTAAGGACCAGAGTCTACGGACTCCGGATTCAGGGGAAGTCTACGGACTTCAATGGTCAGAGTCTACGGACTCCAGCGAAAGTCTACGGACTTCAATGGTCAGAGTCTACGGGCTCCAGCAGGGAAAGTCTACGGACTTCAGTCAGGTCAGTGTGAGTCTACGGACTCCAGGCAAATGCTTATTGTTTTTTTAGGTGCAAACATTAATAAATTAACATTTATTTTAAATCCCCCATCGTCGTCGTCATCTCGCCATCGTCGCTGCCAGGCAATGGCGACGAACAAGGACAATGACCGCCGGGCACGCCGCGAACGCGGCCGCGACTATGAGCGGCGGCGAGATGATGACAAGAAAAAAATAAGAAGCCGAAGCAGAGACCGGCGGGACCCCTGTCCTCGGGAGACCTGCCGCCGCTCATTGAGCAAACCTGTCTTGACGCCGGCTCCGTCCGAAGCCGCGGCTGCGACCGCGGCGCCGCCAGAGCCACACACCGCCGCCAACCCGCTGCCGCCTCCATTGGGTTCCGGGAAAACAGACAAGTCAATGGACCTTGACCACGACGACGCTACTGAGTCCATGGAAGAGGAACAGGGTGACGACGACCCTGGACAACAACCAGCTCAGCCTGATCCTCGCACCTTGCCTGCAGGCAATGAGTCTGCCACCCCTCCACCCAAGGGTGACGGTGGTCCAGCCACAGCGGCTGACAAGACTCACGCTGCCACTGCACTTGTCAAGGCCGACGGTGGCCCAAGGGCCACCGCCGACCAGAATGACAAACACAAGCGACGACAGATGTGGCCGCGTCGTCGGCGGGGGACCAGCAGGTTCGTTCCAGCACCGGAGATCGCCGTTCAATTGGGTTTGGCACCAGTCAAAGGACAAGCAGCGCTCCTGGCAAGCTTGTCTCCAAGATGGCAAAAATTGGAGGAAGCTCCTGTGGCAGAAGGGGGCTATACTGGCCCACCTGACAACGACGAAGATGAGATCCAGCGTCAGAGCTCCCCTCCGCCAACAGATGACCACGACCTTGGCCGTCGTGACCATGACAAGAAGGTACCCGACCCTGGCAGTGGAGCAGGCGCAAGTGGCAAGTGGTCTGATATCATACTCCAGCTGTGGCAGGCTACTTTGCGCGAGCTCCGATGATAAGTCGGCAAGGCAATGACGAACTCTTCCTCGACTGAGCGTGGAAAAAGAATCGCTTAGCGTCGCTGCTGCGTGGCTTTGGGAAACATAATTGACCAATCAACCCTGGTGAACCCAGTGACCACTTTAATTTAGTCGGCCTTTAATTTCGTAGGTGGGAGGCGACGGTTTTCTGTATCAGGATTGATGCGACCAAATTCAGGAACATAATTACCATGCTTAATGTTCAAAAAGCTATAAAACCACTCTCAAGCCATTGGGCCCGGGTGACCTTTTGTACTTGAGCAACGCCTCTTACTCAACTTAGCAACACCTATTAACTTGAATAGCACCATCATGCACACCTTTAAATAAATAATTACTCAACTTAGCAACAAAGAAGACCCCAAGAGCAACCAAGCTACTGCTAAACAACGCCAAGTCATCATAGTACACTTTTACCTCCTGGCAATGGCCTCCAACCTACTATAGCGATGGCCTGGAACCTGCTCACAAGGGTCTCTGGATGCCCCCTGGTCTTGCCAAACAGATATGACAAAACAGGTCTTTGCGATGCCCTTTGTTCCTAGTAGCGTTCTTTGCTCCTAGCAGTAAGGCCAGGAGCCCCGTTCGTAGCGTCCGATCGCTCCGTTCGTAGCGATGCCCTTTGCTTCTACAAGTTTGCTTCCCATGCGATGTCCAAGTGCCTGTTGTGTGCGGCCTTCAGCCACACAAACTCGCCCTCTGTCAAGAACCAAGGCCTTGGCGACCAACTGCGACGCTTTAGTTTGTCCAGGTCGGCCATGGTCGGCTCAAGCTATCGCTACTAGGTTGGAGGCCATCGCTACTTTGAAGGCTAAACGGAGGGTGTGTGGAGAAAGGGTGTCAGCAAAAATCGCTTATACGAAGTTAGTGCATCAAAAATACCTTCCACGAAGTTCTGCGAAGGTTTCTGGGATTTCGTTGCAGTCAGTTCTCCTACTGGCCCACCATTCCACGAACTGTCCACGAACAGCCTTGGGTTCTACGAAGGTCACGCGCCTTCCACGACGTTAGTAGAATCGGTTTTTGCAAAACCCTTTCTGTGCACTACCCTTCCGTTTGCCTTTGATACTTCGTTGGTGTCCAACCCTTCAAACCCATTGGGGCAAGCACCAGTCCATCTGTTGCACCTAAATGACGTTGGCTGGGATAAAGCATCCACCTTGCTCCGCTAAAGGAAGACACACGACACAAAACATCACAAAACAAAACACATAATGTTGACCTCTGATTAATAAACCCCCCCTAAATAATGAGAGGTCAACATTATATTGGTCACTCTTGTTCGCACGCGCCTTTTGGGCAAGGCGAGCGCCTCGTCAACCTCCACGAATGTGCGCGCGTCGTCTCTCCTTTGTCTGTCTCTCTTTCTCTCTTCCCCTCTCTGCATGCATGAATATCTGCCTCACCCGACCACCTCTCTTCGATCTTCGTTCGTTTCTCTGTAAATGTTTTTGGCCTGGCTCTCTGCCCTTCTTTCAAGCCGTGGTCGATTCACCTCAGAAGAGAGGTGAAGTCAGCATAGCACATAACTCTCGCTACTAGGTTGGAGTAACTCTCCATAACTCCTAAGTATCAAACATGGATCTTGGACGATCCTGGATACAGTACAGCTTGCTTCATTTTCTGCACCCCATGCCTACGCTCGGCTCAAGTCTCAAAAATGCAACATGTTTTTCATCGCTGGACTCTCTGAACATGCGAATCCTGGCAATGCGAATGAACATGATGAACATGTACCTAGAAGCGGCGGCCGCGGCGGCCTCCAACCAATAGTAGCTTTCTTGTTACTAGTAGTAAGCCTAGTAGTAAGGCCAGGAGCTACTAGTAGCTTCTTGTTACTACCAGTAAGGCACTTGTTACTAGAAGCGATGCACTTGTTACTAGGAGCGATCATGTTTGACATTGAATTCTGAACCAACGCGCTAACTCGGCCCCCCGGCCGAGGGAAAGACGGTCCTCTTTCGCGCTAGCGCGGGGCCAGCGGCACCACCGGCCAAGGCCGCAGCTCCACGCTCCTCGTTGAAAGGTTGAAAACACAACATGTGCGTTCTTGTTCTCAGTAGCTTCTTGTTGCTAGTAGTAAGGCACTTGTTTCTAGTAGCGTTCTTGTTCCTAGGATGTAAATGAAAGCATAAGTGACAATGATTTATTACAATATATATATATATTATGTTGCTACTTCTACTCTTGCCTCTTGCTATCTCTTGCTACTCGTTGCTTCTATCTTCTACTCTTCTACTCTTGTTTCGGAGTCATTTTTTTCACGCTGGGGCATCCAATGGCTCTGCCCTATAGAGAGGCCCGAGTGAAAAGAAAGGCAACCAGAGCTGGACAAATGCATTGGTTCCACAAAAAGAGTGACAGGATCGTGAGAAGGGCAAATTGGAGACCGCTAATTAGGAGGCCATCGCAACGGTCTCTTTCAGGTCTCAAGTCCTGGAACCTTTCCATGAGGAATGCTCGGGAAAGATGAGGAATGCTCACTCTACACACATCTACAGGCTACAAACATCTAATTCACCTCTTGGTGCCATTCCTGCCCAGCATTTTTGCAAACAGCATGCCGGGGTGTTTCAGGCCTTCTGAGAGGTGCTATTACTGGTGCTAATTCAAGTCCCGTCATGTGGAGCCCTCCGAGCTGCAAGACGAAAAAGAAAACATTCACGGCAGCCCAACGAAAAAGAGCAAAGCAATGAGTACAATGTACTGTGCCTTGTCTAAAGCATTTCCAATTTTCTGTGTCGAAAGCTGCTCCGGAACATGCACGCTTTCTCTCAATTCTCCCTTGCAGGCCTTGCTATGATCTCTCCCCAATTGCCATGGTCTTCATCAAAGTTTAGCTCCGAATCCGTGCAGTTCACGCCTTTTTATTCTGCGACTCTGCATTGTGAGAGTGGTGGACAGAAACGGCAAGCGAAGCAAAGCATCTTCAGTTCAGAAATCTTGAAACTGACTTGTTTCTTTGGCTCACAGGCCAAGCCCCTGCTTGTGAGAGGCAGGCGACTCCATCGCCCAATCCCAGAAGTCCAAGAGGCGCCGATGGGCACTAGCGATGGCCTCCAACCTACTAGCTGTCACTTACAGAAGGTTTTGAAATAGTTTTCTCATGGACATTCTGACGCGCTTCAAGGTACAACTCGAATCTAGATGTCAGTGCAAAGGTTGAGAAAAGCGTGGCTGATGTCTTTCCGTGAAACAACACGCTAAACATCTGTGCGTTCCACATATTTCCTCCAGTTACAACATCAGCCCACATGCAAGTTAAATTGGATGACATTAGGTCTCATTTTGGCAGTCTTGAGCTACCAAAATGGACTCTCCAAGCTACGTACCCACATGCATCCAATCCTTATGGGCTCTTGACAATCGGAAGAAGTTCATGAACCCACAAGGTATGCTTGTGCAGTGGTGCAGCAGGCAATGCTTTGTAAGAAACAGGGGGCCCATCCTTATCAGCTGTGCTATGCTGCTTAGCTGCGCTTGCGCGCAGCAATCAGCCATGAGGCCTAGGCGGCCTAGGGATGCCTATAAGATCCTATAAGCCTATAGGATCAAAAATTGAAGTTGGACACTTTCTGAACTTCACTAACACGAAGCTACGAACGGGGCTCCTGGCCTTGCTTTCTGGTCAATATCCTGGATCCGAACGCGTGGTGCGCAAGGGGGGCCATCGGAGAGGACTCCTGGCTTGCGGCTTCAGCCGTCACCCGAGTCCCGCACACATCCTCCGTGGTGCCCTTCCGTTCGCCCTTCTGACGCAAATGGCCCAAGGTCAACAGGGCGATCTTGCGTTCCAAATCCGCCACCTTCTCGGTCAAGACAGCGATGTGCGGATCCTTCTGGTCTGACAGCCCAACTTGAGCCGGCTCGGCGGATTCTCCCGATTTGGGCAAATCAGTGCTCTCACTGGACATGGATTGAGAAGTTGTAGAAGTTCTGGCACGACTTTCACGACTATCCACAGACTCCGTCACATCCACATAGCTTTTACTGGGACTCCTCCACTTCTTTGGGACCACCGAGTCGAGGTGCCGGTTACGACGGCTCAAGTCCTCGCGCATCTGTGCTAAGTCGAATAAGGCGGCCTTGTCGTTGTTGGATTGGAGAGAGCCTGGGAGGTGCTGCGTCAAAGCACATGTTGCGTCAGTTGTTTCCATTCATGTTTTCAGATTTTTCCTCTACCATGCTGCTCGTATTTCTCTGTCTTTAACTGCCAAAATTTGGCGGATGCAAGCGGAAACAACGAGGAACAAGAATGCGAAACTAAAACACACCTCCAAGCTCCAAGATGTTTGAAGCAAAAACACAGCGGTTTTCAAAAGCCAGGTGCCATCATCAAACTGGTGCTCCCAGAAGTCCAAGCCAATGAGCTCACAAGCACGACTGCAGCGGAAGCCAAATAAGAAATCTACCAACATCACAATGACGTAGGTAAAGCCAAGGGAGATGCCTGTCAACATGAGGATGCCCGTGCATTGAATGCCCAAGTGCTTCCATGCTTCTTCACCTCCTCCGAAGAAAAGCCCAACAATCTCAGAGTTGCCAGAACAATGCTTTTCGGCGAAGAGGCTCACGGCGAGTGTGCCCCAAGCCCCAGAGGGCCCATGTGCAGCAACCTGGTGACAATATGTCCATGCACAATCTGCGGTTGGAGGCCATCGCGAGTAGGTTGGAGGCCATCGCGAGTAGGTTGGAGGTCATCGCGAGTAGGTTGGAGGTCATCGAGTAGGTTGGAGGCCATCGCTATTAGGTTGGAGGCCATCGCCAGTAGGTTGCAGGCCATCGCGAGTAGTTTGGAGGTCATCGCGAGTAGGTTGGAGGCCATCGCTATTAGGTTGGAGGCCATCGCCAGTAGGGTGGAGGCCATCGCCAGTAGGTTAGAGGCCATTGCTAGTAGGTTGGAGGCCTCCAACCTAACGTAGCGACCTCTTCGGGTTGCCCTGAGCGATGAAATGCGCGGCAAGGCACCGCCCCGACTGCATCGTCCACTTGGAAATATGCCAAGAGTTCTTCCACTGAGAGCGTCAGCAGTGCGGCAATGAGCCCGACCAAAGGTGCTACTGGAAGCGGAATCACCACACAACACGCGCAGCTGGCAACTAAGCCACCAATCAAGGCATTGGTCAACTCCGGAACACGGACCACTGTGGATCGGGTGCGCGCCATCGAATAGGCCATGCCTGGCACATATGCATGCCTTTATCTTACTTTTCGCTCAAGAGCATGCAGGTCCAACCACAGGTCCACAGGTGTCCGAATCTCTACCCCTGAGTGACTCCTTCAACCTACGAAAGGCCTTACGTAGCAGTTTCGGCTGAACCTGGTCCTGCACGTTTCCCCTTAGCAAGCCTTTTGCAAAACTCTTGAGGCTTAGACTCCAAGACTAAGAGGTCCGTCCTCCAATGCCAGCACCAGCGGCTGCGAGAAGTGTTGTGGCAGATGCATGAGCCATGACAAGGTCGTGGCCAGATGTGACGGAAAAGGTAGACGCAGGATTGAAGGCCAGGAAGCCCACAAGCCTCGGAACGGAATCTGCTCAGCACGCTTTTTCAGTTTCGGAGGCCAGGTTGGAGGCCATCGCTACTTCAGGGGGTGACTGTCGTGCTATCCAAGTGACAGCAAAAAGGTTCCAAACAGGAGCTGCACCGGATGCCGGCAACGACGAAAACTGATAAAGACCTTCTTCTCCACGGGATCCTGCGTGGAGAAAGTGCTGACACACTGACGCAGCCCATGAAAACTGCCTTGATCGACCAATCTCTCTTTCGATAGCGAGCATGCGTGGGAAAAATAGAAAAGGCAGCTTCAAACTTCAAACCTCCCTGAAGGCATACTCTTCAAACTGACCGCCCCAATCGAAAAGTGTGACTCAAGGTCTTCTGTTGGTCTTCTGTTGGTCTTCTCCTGTGGAACTCGGTAGTATTGATCATCATGCTTCTCTCCAAAGAGCCAACTCCAAGGCTTTCGCCATGAGCGATACTCTGGGAAACGTCCGATTCGAGGACCACAAATCATCGTGCTCACCTAGGAGCGGGTTAGAAATGGTTAGAAGGCTTTGGGAGAAGGTGACGATAAACAGGTAAAAAGCCTTCAGTGTATGTCATACTGGGTGCTAAGTTCACAGGGTGTCCAACTGTGTGTGCTTGTCGTGTCTGCAGTGGGAAACATCAACTGCAAAACTGGGCGACCATTTTGATGATTCGAGCACAAGATGGGCCAACTGCTCAGTCTGAGCGTTGTCCACAACAAAAGGGACCTCCGGACCTTGTACACACCTTGCCCGAGCCCCACAGACCCACCAAGGCCTGAATAAGCTTAGGAAATATATCTTCTAAAACAAGAGAACAGGCCCAATAGCAATGGCCTCCAACCAGAATAAGATTCTGAACATGTGACTTTGGAAGGAGTTTGTTTGTGGCAAACTGTCCACTTGTATGCATACTCCCTACTGGGAGTAGGAACTCGCAGAACCCAGGTTTAATCCACTGGTTGAGTTACAACCGTGACGGAGCAGCAGGAGCTGCGCCGAATACAAAATTGATATCGAATGGGATCCAGCGAAAACGGCCAGCAAAATGCTTCTCCGTGGATGCGGTTCTTCAAAAGGTAACGGTCTGGAGATGAATTGTCATGATGTGTCAACAAACGAATTTGCACAAACCCAGGCGCTTCAAGAGGAACCTTTCTCAAGATTCACTTCTGGCGGCCAATAAACAGGCCTTGTTACAGAAAGTGCACCAAAACCAACATCGCGGATGTTCTTGCCGCAAATGCCCAGACATCGGAACCGGAGGTTGCACAAGGTGTTGGGGATGTGTGAGGTCGTGAGGTCGAGATGTTGAGAACAAATGCAGAAAAGCTGCCTTCTTCAAGGGGCAAAACAACAAAGCAATTGCTAAAGAAAACGGAAAGAACAGGCAAAACAAAGCGGAGAAGTCTCTACATAGGTTCCATCGAAGTGCTCCAACGCCGGTCAGCCACGCCGCTAGATACACTCGACACCGCGGCGCATGACACACGACAAGCAAGAATATCACAGGCCCTGGCTCCGCCAGAGGCGCTCCCCGCGTTTCGCGACAAAGGCCAAAATGTGGTCCTGCGCCTGCCCTGCCCGCTCTTAGATGTAAGCCCAAAATCTTTGTCCACGAAAATAGATTTACATGAGTTGCCAATAATCGCACTCAAGAACGGTTAAACAGTCTTGACCGAACTGACACTTTTGAAACATGTTTGACCTGAAGACTCTGAAGACTTCGAGAAGGACTCCACCATCTGACGAGGCTGACAGCAGACAGCAATGAGTACCGGACCAATGCACTGACCGCTCCCACGAGATGCACCGTCGCAGAACCTGCCGGTTACTGGGAGCGATCAGACGAAACGAACATAGCTCCTGGCCTTACTAACAAGAAGCTACTAGGAAGCTACTAGGGGGCTCCTGGCGCTACTAGTTACTAGGTGCAAAGATGTGCAAAGTAGGAACAAGAAGGTGCAATAAAGGTGGCCCGACCCGCAGGACGCATGGCTCACATGGCTCGCATGGCGGCGCCTGCGAAGTCCACGAAGCCCATCTGCTGCAGCCAGCCATGCCCCCAAACCAACCGGGCAGAGATCGGATACACCAGGCCTCAGGTGACACCGGTGATGCCGGTGACGCATGGCTTTGGTGAAAGGAGCTGGACCAAAGACCTGGCAATGGGTGACCAAAGGTGTGATGATTGATGTGACCAGTTCTGGAACATCCACAGGACTTTGCAATCTACTTGTATCTACTTGACGTGCCTGTTGTCAAGTGAACATCCACAGGTGTTCTAGATAGGCAGTCTTTGTTTCAGCTTCAATCTGGGACCTGTGACCTGTCATCATGGTGGACAACGCCAGGTACGGGAAGAATGCCACTCTGCCGGCCAGGGCCTTAGACAGGATGAGCTGCAACTGGCGCATCTTCAGCTGCCAGACTTTCTCCAACACACAAAATGCAGAAGACAACTGCCCAAGGGATCGTTTGAACATGCAGGTGTTGGGGGAATCGGTCATTGGACAGGTTCTTAGAAGCTGTGTTTCCACACTCGGCCCCCAACCCCACTGTTGATGGTGGCAGCAGTTGTAGCATAGGAAAAGCTGCAGAACCAATGTGCCAGGTCAAAGCCTGCAACAAGGGGATTGAAATTGTAAACGAATGTTCGCTACTATCCTGACATCGCTACGAACGGAGCAAGGACGCTACGAAGGGGGCTCCTGGCCTTACTAGGAGCAAGAGGACGCTACGAGTGTGTGTGGCACTTTTTCTGAGAAACACTACTGACCGCTGTGACCGGCACCCCTGCACTACGCACTCGTTTTGTTCGTTTGCGATGTGCGCACCCGCATCAGCAATGCCCACGTCGTAGCTCTCTCCAAAGGCGATGGTGTAGCCAAAAAGATAAAAGGCCAACACACCAATGCACAAATCCAACAAGTTCTTCATCATGATGTTCGCTGCGTTGTTGGGTTGTGCCTCACAAAATCTCACAACAAATCAACGTACAGTGACACATGCAACAGGTGCCTGAGACAAAGCGCTTTCCTAAAAAGTCAGTCCTTACAGTTGTGTATGCATCTATCTATGCATATTATATAATCATATATATATAGTAGTCTCAGAGTAGATGGCACAATCCATCTTCTCTGAAACCGCTGTATCTGAATCAATCCTAGTGAAGTCCTTCGAAAGGAAGCCTCTCTTCTTTGAGGTCTCGACATAGGCGGACTCGAGCATGGCAAATCCAGACTGCCTTAAGCTGATTGTGTGCTGATTGTGTGGCTACCTCATGGCTGAAGCAAGGCATGAACAGATTGACCACGTTTTTCAAGCAAGTGACATCTGGATGATTCTCCCTGCCATAGTCACAATGAAGGCAACATCTGCCCGATGTCGAGTGCGGAAAGCCAGGCACTCAGGCAACGCCTCCAGGAAGCTTCAGGTCTGGAGGGCTGCCCTTTCCACTAACGAGGCACTCTTGGTGCTCGTAGAGGTCCTTGAACAAATTTCTTAAATAAAAACACCTCCTGTTTTCTTTTGATCTTATATTATGATCTAGGGGATGAGAACAAGCCTTAGCGACTAAACGCTGTTGAGCCCAGAACGCAAAGGCATTCGCTCGTAGGTTCAACTTGTCGCTGTGGCACTTTGAAGCTACTAGTAGCTCCTGGCATCGCTACTAGGAGCAAGAAGCACTCAGCTGGCGCAAAGCGAAGCTTGGCGGGCACTCCGCTCAAAGTTCTTCGAGCGCACCAGCTGCCCTATTCTAAAAGCCTGTTAATGCACATTTGCCTGTAGAGGTTGGTGCTGAAACTGATTGGATGAAAGATCATCCACTCGGATTTTAGTCAAATGCAAGTCTAGGTGTACTTTGGAGGCTGATTTGGCAGAATGGCAAAACGCCAAGTCACACTATACCAGGGGTGCTTTGGACTGGAACGTGTCTCAACATGTGTTTTTGTTGCATCATCTGAGCTTCTCTCAACTCAGCTCTACTAACTTATCTCCCACTTAGGAGAATGCTGCTTTAAGGTCCTAGGCCTATTAATCTAAACTGCAGCTTGCAAGTGATATTCATTTGGCTCTGACCTAGCTCCATCCTCGTGCAGTTGAAGATTCTCCTCCTTGATTCCTCGTGCGTAGCGATCGTTCTCAACTGGTTCTATTCTAAGAAGCACCGAGTTGTGCACTGTCAGTGCCCTTTTCAACCCCGGCCCTATGGGTGACGATTCCACGCCTGGCCCTGCATGGAATTGACCCAAGTGTCATCCGGAGTCACCTCAGTCGTTCGCTGCTCGCCAGGCAGTTGCCAGGCAGGTGCAGAAAATCTAGTAGTAAGGCACTTGTTTCTAGTAGTAAGGCACTTGTTACTACTAGCTTCTTGTTACTAGTAGTAAGGCACCTGTTTCTAGTAGCGTGGCACTTGTTACTACTAGCTCCTCAGGCTCTGGCCAAGGTGAAGTTCATGGGCACCAGGCGGATTGCACCAGTTCGTGCTACTTTACAAAAGCTTTCCGGCTGCAGGATTGCAATCGATTGCAGAATGTATCGGTAGATATTGAATATAATAATTGGATGATCATGCTTGGATATGGCCAATACATGCCTGGTATCCTTGTGGCTTGCCGGTACAAAACTTGACAGCCAGCCGTAGCAAAACACACCACGGCACATCTTTTTCACACGTCTCGCTGGCCTTTTCACCTTGAAATGTGAAACAAGTTCTCTCAAACATGGAAAATTGAAAGCATGTTTCCACATGGACAAATTGTTTGTGCGTCCTTTCAGCCCCTGAACGAACATGTCTGAGATGTGGACTGAGGCGGAAGGTGGGCAGAACAGAAGCGACTTCCTCCCACAGGTTTGAGGCATCAGAGCTCCGCGTGGCTTCGGCCCCTGCAGCTTTCATCAGCTTGGTGCGATGTTTGCTCCTGAGACTTGGGCATAGTAGGAACAAGAAACTACTGGTAGCAAGGACGCTATTAGGTGGAGGCCATCGCAAGTAGGTTGAAGGCCATCGCTACAAGGAGCAAGAAGCTACTAGTAGCTCCTGGCATCATAGCTAGCATCATAGCATCATAGCTAGCTGCATGATCAGACCATGACGCGGCTAGACTTTAGACTGTTCAAAGCAGGCACTTTTCTGTGAGACCTGAAAACATTCCGCCACCGCCAAGGCCGCCAAGGATCATGGAAGCTAACCTGCTGGCTTGTTCCAAGGCAAGGTCCTCCAGGGCAGCCTACACGGCAAAAAAGAAGCGGCTGATGAATCAGTCTGATGAATGAAACGAAAAGAGAGATATATTGTAAACGGAAACTTGCAGGACACCTTAAAGGAACCCTAATAGCGATGGCCTCCAACCTAATAGCCATTTTCCAGGAGGCGTCGGTTTCACGGGCGAAAAAACATGTTTGTGCCTCGTCCACGCTCTTTATTTCAGCTTCCTCGTTCCACCGAGATGTTTCACAGAAATGTCCTACGCGTCTGTGCTGTTCTACGCGTCTTGCAGCACGAGAGTCAACCGCCACGGCCTTTTGTTTCAGCTGCCTGGCAAGCCTCAGAATAAACATCTTCGAGTTCATTTCCACCAATTGATTCGAGTTTGCAAACTGAACATCCAAACGCAAGCAAGATGCTCGTAATCTTCGAACTCGACAGCCTTGCGTTTTCGATCATTGAGCTTCTCAATGGCGGCAAGCTTTGGCGCATGCAAAAGCCTTGCACCCGCATGTCTTGTCCAACCCAACACCACTCAGGGCAACGGATCAGTGCCAAGGGGCTGCACTGCGCGAGCGCGGCCTGCACACAAAGCCGTATCTGCACCTCTCTCTCGCGCCTTCAGCCTGGCAGGTGTGCATAGAACATACAGCCGACTTTGCTCCAACCTACTCACCTTCTTGTTACTGGTAAGAATGCTACTGGTAGCAATGCCAGGAGCCCCTAGTGGCGTCCGATCGCTCCTAGTAGTAAGGCCAGGAGCCCCTAGTAGCGTCCTCTTGTTACTGATAGCGATGGCCTCCAACCCAATAGCGATGGATACTAATTCATACAGCACAAAAAAATGCATCCTTTTCAATACAATCCCATGCATACCATTCAATAGAACCAATTCATGACGATAAATGCCAAAGAAACCATGCCCACCTTGACGCCACATCAAATTCTTCGGCTGCAGCGGCCCTTCTCTTGAGCACACGCAAAAGAGCAGCGTGCACCAATCCGGTGGCCCAGTCCTCCACGCACTTAGTAGCTTCTAGCTACTACAGTAGCAGCTACTCCTAGTAGTAAGGCCAGGAGCCCCTAGTAGAGTTTTTGCTCCTAGTAGTGATGCCCTTTGCTCCTAGTAGCGTCCTCCACGCACTTGCTCGGGATTGGCTCGGGATTGGTCTTCTCAGTTTCTTCTCCGCCATCTGCGTCACGTTTCTTCACATCCATAGATTCGGAGTGATCGTGATCATTCCGTTTCACCACCGGCCGAGGTTTTGGGGGTCCCATCTCAGAGCTGGCCCGCTTCCGTTGAGCATGTGGCACGATGCGACCACGAAGTGCATCTTTGTAGCTGGCGCGTTTGGCAGGGACGCACATGCGATCCCGTCCTCCACATGCACTGCCTGCATCTGCCCGGCCCAAAAGGGTCAAAACGCCAAGGCCAACTTCCTCGGCACTTCCTTCCGCCGCTCCATCCGCTCCCAGCTCGTGGCTGTCATTCTCGCAGACCAAGAAGTCGCCACGGGGAGATGATAAGAAATTCAAAATGCGTTGGACCTGTTCCTTTGCCAGGCCAATGCTTGCATTGCCTTGATCCAAAGCCAGCGCTATGTTCGAGGCAATTTGTGCCCTGATGGCGCATGATTCTTTAAAGGATGCCTCCATTCCAGGTTTGATTCTTCCATAAAATCCCACCAACTCGACTTCGTGATCGCCCACGCGTCGTGGTGGGGAGGATGTAAACAAACATGCACAAGCGTTGCTGACTCGCAATTCCACCTGCGGTCAGTGAAGTTTTGGGGGACGCGGCTCTATCAACCTTTGTGGAACATGCTCGGCCATCGCTAGTAGGTTGGAGGCCATCGCTAGTAGGTTCCTTTTGCTATTAGGTCCATTTTACCTTTGTCCTCTTGTGCGGTTCCTTGCCAGCCTTCACTAAGCCGGAGAGCACCAACACTTAAAGAGTTTCGGACGCGGTATCGAGAAGGCAAAGATTCAAGAGCAGGGCTATTAGGTTGGAGGCCATCACCATTGGAAAGAAAGAACAAAGAAAAGGCAGTAGGAAGAAAGGTGTACTGTAGTTGAAATCTCTGAGCAAGGACGCTACTAGGGGCTCCTGGCCCTACTACGAGCAAAGAACGCTACTAGTAGCAAAGGGCATCGCTACGAACGGAGCGTTCGGACGCCATCATTGACCTTCCGGTACTTGCCTCCAGGAAGCTCCGGAAGTCCCCTTGCACCACCCATTCTCCAGGACGTCGTCGGGGAGGGAAGGCTGAGCACAACGCTGCCAAAACCAAAGAGTGCTGGTCGTCCCTGGCGCTAAACGACGCACGGGTCAATGGTCCATGGTGCGAAAGAACATGTTTGCATCTGCATGATGTCATATCAAACTGTGTGCGTCCTTGCTCCTAGTAGCGATGCCAGGAGCCCTAGTAGCTTCTTGTTCCTAATAGCAAGGCCAGGAGCCCCTAGTAGCGTCCTTGCTCCTAGTAGCGATGCCCTTTGCTGTCACATCAAACCGTGTGCCCATGAAATGGGCTTGTCTTGAACTACCTTGTCATGTACCTATTTCTTGAGGTCTATAGGTAATACATATTTGTCGAAAAGAGGGGAGGAAAATCCAACATGAGGGTCTGTCACTGGAAAGATATGGAAAGATCATTGGAAAACTGCTCAAAACATCACAACTAGGTTTAGGATTTCAATGAACAAAGGAGGATGTACAAAGTCTCACCCTGTCTCACACATTATAGTACTACAATAATTACAATGTTGGGCTTAATCTGCGCCAGCCAGGCAACAATGCGGCCACACTGCCTCCCAAAACACCTACGCAATTCTACACCCCTCACGCTAAGCTTGCAAAGTACACAAAACAACTCGTGGCACAACTGAGGCAGCTTCAATAGGGCTACCGTCCACGGTCTTCCGTCAAGGTCAAGATCATTAAGGTTGAACTGCGACTGCGCAAATTGGCAAAATGTCATGACCTTCGCATCCAATGCTTCCCAAAACGCATCTCCGTTGGTCTTGGATGCGCTCTGAGCGTGAATCCCCTCAGCACTTGTGGCTACGTTCTCTGCATCTTCGGCAGTGTGACATTCGCTGCACGAAGTCTGGGTTTCGGACACACCAGTTTCCTCTGGTGCTTCAGTCTGTTCTCTCACAGCCACAGCTGAAAAGAGACTCCCTTCTCTCATCTCTTTCGACTCTCTCCACTTCAGGTAGGAAGCAATCAGGATGAAGTGTCCCGACCAGGCAGTGGATGACAAGGATGAGGACCGCAAGCGACTTCGCCACGCCGTTCGGAGGCTCTTCTTCGGTTCCATGTCTGGCTGCAGCAAAGCCACCGTCGCAGCCATGGGAAGCAAACAATGGTAAAAAGCACCGAAGAACAAGGCCCGAGCTGCAGCTGGTGACACCGAGTGGTTCTTCGACACCTTCAACAGCCAAGTGCCCAAAGCGGTCACTTTCGGTGGAACGCCATAGCCTTGTGGCTCCAAAGCGCCCAGTCTCCACAAGCGACGTGAAGCTGCCACCAGGGTGCCGGTGGCCAGGTGAGCCAACCCCTCCGGCGATGTCGCGTCGACTCCTTCGGAGCGAAGGTCCGTCAGAAACGCCAGCAACTTGGGCATGGCGGCCTCGAGGTCTGACCTTTCGAACGCGTCGCCATCTCGCTCTTCAGCCTTCACGAAGGTCGAAGCGGTGCAACTGGAAGTCGAAGTTCCTTCCATGTACGGATCATCACAGACTGGAAGATTGGTGTCTTCCTCACAACCTTGATCCTTTTGATCCTGATTCAAATCCTCATTCTTCACCTCCACTTCTCTAAGCTCCTCAAGCTCCTCCTTCTCAGGCTCATGTTGGCAATCCTCCTGATGCTGTCAAATGAACTTAAGCTGTACTGGGGCTCTACAAGAATGCGGTCCGTTATTACTCGTTGCATCTGCTTGCATCGGCATCTTCGAATTTTGTTTCATGTGATGTCCACATGGAAGACTCGAAAAAGCACAAAGGAAGTAGAACAAGCTTTGTTCAAGTGGTTCAAGCTTTCTGTGGGGCAAACCCTTTGGACTAGAACCATTTTGTGCAGCGGGTGGGCATCAGTGAGAAGAAAACCAACGCAAAGAACAACAATAAAAGGAGCAAGGCATTAGTAGTTGCACATAGTAGTTGCACATAGCAGCGCCGCATTGCCATTGCATGTGAGATTCCCGTGATCTCGGCTCCTCCAAAAACTCTCTTTCAACTTGCCAGGCATCGTCTTCAACATCCATAGGGAAGCTAGGCTGCACAGCTGAACTGGAGTGGGGAATGCTAGGCTGTGTGGACGTGCTAGGCTCGCAGGGAATCTAAAGTGTGAAGATCATTGGTGTCAGTGAACAAGCGTATGAGATTGAATAGGTGGAAACATGTGGAAACCTCTGAAGTGATCTGACAGGCAAAATGATCCTATTCTGCTTGCAGCAATGCCGGTCATCACTTGGTGTGGCTGGTTTGGACATTTCAGTCTCCAAAGATTCGGAATCACAAGAACTAAGAGGGGAAGGTGGGTCTTTTCTTCGTGCTCTTCTTCTGAACAGCGATGGCCTCCACCCTAGTAGCGATGGCGATGGCCTCTAACCTAAGAGCGTTGGCCTCCAACCTACAACTAGCGGCGGCCTCCAACCTAAAAGGCTTAGTCACCTAACTCCTTTTCCAATTACAGTGGTTTCAGAGTAGATGGCACAAACCGCAAGATGTCCTTCAAATGGGGGTCCGTACAAACCACTTTTGGGGGGATTGTGCCATCCACTCAGAACCCACCTGTAAATGTGCATTTCTTGAACGAATCCTTTTAGACCCTTTCAGGCCCTTTCTTGCTAATTCCCCCTTTCTGGCGGCCCTCTAAGCCTTTTCTCACTCTTCGCTGCTGGACAACACCAGGCTTGTCACAACTCGTCTTCGCTTTTGGGGCGGTCCAGACCTCAAAAGTTGATGTGGCCTCCAACCCAAGTAGCGCTGGCCTCCAATGTATGGTCATTAATAGACTGGACACTCCTTTGGTAAACAAACATGTTTACACTTGGATTTGTGGTAGTCATTAATTATTGGCAAACGTGCTTAAAGTTATATCGGCGTACACTTTTCCGGGAAACGAGCACTTTTTGCCTTGGGATTGCAAAACGAGCATTTTTTCTGGAATCAAGGGTTTTGTTGATGACACCTCAGTTTCCAACGCTAGAGTTCAGAAACTCTAAATTGTGTGTTTATGTTTTTCTGTAGCTGTGGAGGGTTCAAGACCATTTTGTTCCGGTTTTGACCATGATGGATACGCAAACGTGATTTGGATGAAAGGTTGGTCCCAACGAAATTTCTCCCGTTTTGCTCATGGAGTGGGAGCTGCACAGCGAACACATGTTGTACCACTGGAGACACCAGCGAGTTGCGATTAGTTTTATATTGAGTGTTTTCCCCATACCTCAAGAGTCGATATGGAGTTTAACATGGTTCGACAGCTGCTACTGCTGTCGGAACGAACCGCATCTGTCAAATTTGAACGATGAAATTGACAGCATCACCACCTCCAAGTCGATCTGTTTCAACCAAGACACGGTGTCATCCGTGGTGCATCGCACTGTACATCATCACTCAACACGGAATCGCTCTCTCCTTGGAACGACCGTTCGTTCACGCGAAGCGTCCGGCCGATGCGACAGAAAGGCGGAAAGGTAGGAATTCTTAGCAATGGCGGCCATTTGCTTGCTTTTGAGATCTATTTTGAGAGCGCCAAGGGTGAAGGCCCGTGCTTTTGGTGTATCTTGTGTATCTTTTGCTTCGGGTTTGTCTCATGATGTCTGATCTTTCAGCCAGCGCAGAGATTCCGTCAGACAACTCGAGTGTGTCGATGGGACGAGGCTGCCGCGGCCGCTCTGCAGTGGACTCGTCAGAGGAATCTGCTGTACGATCCAGCAGTCTTTGGCGAATGCACGCCTGGCATCGCTACTAGGAGCAAGAGGACGCTACTAGGGGCTCCTGGCATCGCTACTAGGAACAAGAACGCTACTAGGGACACAAACGAACGACCATCTCTGTCAATGGACCGGTCGAGGCTGAAAAAACGAGCTGTTTTGATCCGCTCACGTGATGCATCTGGATACTCATATCTCACTGGATTTTTTACGGAAGAGCCTCATATGTTTACAGTCTTTGGTCCGCGGTACCGCGGTTCTTTCTGCAGCTGAAGCACCACAAGATCTTGTGGAATCATTAAGCCCACCAGAACTGTACCAGTCTTCAGCTCACATCGGAATAAGGTGTTCTTCTCCCCAAGTACCGTGCCAAGCAAATCCCAATGGACTAGGACTTGTCCAGTCAGCATCGTTTCCTCAAAAAGGATGGTGCAACTACTCACAGTCTGAGAGTGTGAGCATGCTTTTTTGTTAGGGCCTCACTCCAACATGGCAAGGTGCAGGTGTTTTATACAATGTAAGGACGCTACTAGGAATGGCCTCCACCCCAGTAGCGTCGCACCAAAACAATGATGCCTGCCATGGTGAAGTTGAGCGGCAAGACTCAGAAGGACACCAACAAACACCAATGGGCACGACAAGTCAAAAGCCTCCAGAACAGATTTGTGGCTTGGCCTTTTGTGCGTGGCCTCCTTCGGCAAACACAAGTTTTTCGTGGTTTGGGTGCTGGTCCTTGTTCGGTTTTTGCTTTTGAGGGGACGGGCATGTTGCGCCCAGAGGGCAAGCATGACGAAGAGCCAATCGCGGAAGTGATGCTTGCAAATGGCATAAAGAACAGGCTAGCCAGCCACAAGCCAAAACACCCAGCAAAGCCCATAAAATACCAAGGAGTCACCGGAATCATCGCCAAACAAACCAAATACCAAATCAACAACAGAACCAGGAAGCGCCCAGAAAAAGATCCAGCGGAAGCAGTTCGGATTGTTGGAAGCCCAGGAATGAAAACAGCACCCTTTCTTTCAGTTTTTTGGACACTCAACGGCTTTTGTGCAAGAAGGTCAGGTGAAGAGAACCTGCAAGGTCAACCAAGAAGGACCACCTTTTTGGACCTCTTAGGAAACCCAAAGGGACCAAAAGGGGGACCACTTAGGACCGCTTCTTTCTTGATTGTCTTCTTGTTTCTTTGACCCTTCTTATTCCATGAGCCATGAGCACTCCAAATGGCATCAGCCTGGGAAGCATGGCAGCACCTTGAGTTTTGGGGTAACTTCTTGCGACGGCCTCCAACCCAACAGCTAGATAAGGCCTGTGTTTCTTGCTCTTATGCTTGCGCGGTGCCGTGTGCGGCTTAACTTCCTCTCGAGTTGCGCACACCTGCTGAAGCGGAGTGCCCTCATCCGCAGATCTAGTCATCAAACGGCTCGCAACCCCCAAGGAGATATCTGAAGACCAAGTAAATACAACACAAAAAACTATCCTAACACACAAATACACACACTTCGACTTGGAAAATCAGCACTTCTCCAAGTCGAAGAATGTGGGCTCGCATTCTGTCAGCATTTGGAATTTCTATATTCATGCACGTGTTCTTGAAGGTCCAGCAGCCCAGCACGTACATGACCACCATTCCATTCGGGAATGCAACCGCAGGTGTTCAAAAAAAATTAGTTTGAAACCCTCCAATACAGTTCAAAAATGGCTCTATAGAGGACACGTCGTCTCACTTGGCTTGGCAATCATCCTTTAGCCCGTCGCGTGAAGCCACGATCCTTTTGCGAATGTGAAGCAAGCACACACAAGTGGGTAAGGGATCAAAATAGAAATAAAAATAGAATCAAAAAATATTCAGCGGGGATCAATAAAAAATACAAAGGTAATCAAAAAAAATCCTAGCCCACTGAGGATGGTTGGGGTAGTAGAGGAGAGTGTACCTCCCCAGGAGCTCCCTCCTAGTAGGGAGCTATTTCCACTGGTGAACCATTTTTCGAGCAGGGCTACTCAATGACTGGACGGCAACCTTATCGTTGGGTACCTACTTTCTTCCCAGGGAGCTGCCTATAGTAGAAAGCAATCAAGCCTCTATTTGCGCAAGCAGGGGACCAGGAGATCGACAGACGAGCGCCGTAGGAGAGCAAAAGACCAGCGGACCAGGAGACAGAAGGACTAGGATACCAGGGGACCAGCGGACCACAGGACCAGAGGACCAGGAGACCGGAGGACTAGGGGACCAGTGGACTAAAGGACCAAGGGACCAGGGGACCAAAGGACCAGTGGACCAGAGGACCAAGGGACCAAAGGACCAAGGGACCACATTACCAGAGGACCCGCAGACCACAAGGCCAGGAGAGCAGCAGAAGAGGCCTATCAAGGAATATGTTTTTTTGATTCGCTTTTTATTTTGTTTTTGATCCTGTTTTTATTTTTTTGATGCTCTTTATATTTTTTGATACCTATGCCCACACAAGTGAGCCTAAATAAAGCTTGCCTGTTCAACAACACCACACTGCAGGCAAAAGTTGCGAACAGAGGAATTTACGACTATTATATATATATATATATGATCCACTCTCACTGCGCCAGCATAGCGCATTCTTTTT